TATATATATATATGGTTGTAGAGTAAAACGCCGAACTTTAAATTTAGACTCGAATGTGGTCCGCAAACCATAAAAAAGAGCATTACATAGTCAAAGATAACTCAGCCCTAAGAACCACGTTAGCAGATAGTTTTCTTAGGAGTCAACTGTTAAAATGATGTATCTGCTATTAGTAAGAGGCCGACCGTTCTGAGAAGCCACAAAGAACAAGTATGAGGTCAACCGTACCCGCAATCGTAGGCGAAGAGGCTTCTGGGAGCGTTTACGAGGTTGAGGCCACACAAGAAGATAAGATCCGTGAGATTTGCTCTAAGATTTGTTATTTGTAATTCAAATATATGAAATTTAAATAATGAAACCGTCCTGATTAATTGCAATATCTATCTTTTGGGAAACTATTCTAAAAGATAGAGAAAATAACCCAAATTCAAATAAGGAATGTTTATGGGCAGTGACCTAAGCTATAAATAAGAAATTATGAGTCAGAAAAGCTCAATTCTCACCTTGAGAAATTAGTGCGTGTATTCTCCCCGAAGTTAGTGAATTTACTCTCCTCCCTATAATGAACGTAGCTCTCGAATCGATGGTGAACTACTATAATTCTTATTTGTTTTTGTTGTTTAATTGTGTTTTAAATTATTAAATTCGTGTTAACTATTAAAAAATTCGCTATTCAACATATATATATATAAAGTGTATATATATATATATATATATATATCAAATGATCTATTGGCCTGTGGCTTGTAATCACGGGGCTTATTAGTCGTCTACGATCAACCACTGAAAAGAAAAATAGCTGAACTAGCAAGAAAGAAAAAAAGAAGTAGAAGAAAACAATTTAATTATACATTATAGCTAATCAGAAATATTTCGTCAATGTGGCGTATCTTTAAACATCAACTTGGTTCTAGTAGTTAATTTCCCTTAAAAAAAAATAAATCATTGACTTCGTAGTTGCTTATTGTAGTTTTCTTTTCTTTCTTTGAGAAAAGATCATGTTGATCTGCCACTTGCCATTTGCGCCAACTCCAATTGCAAATGAAAATGAAGATGAAAATGTCAAAATATATGGATACACAAATATCTTCTATTAATGCTCGAATGACTAAAATTCGAGCAAATCCCAGCCAATGGTTTTGAAATAGAAACAAAATCTGGTTTCTTCCAAACGGAATCCCTTGTCATTAACTTTAGGGCCACATAATCAAAAGGCCAAGCATAGAAACTATACGCAGAATCTTAATTACTGATGTGCATGCATTTAATCCATAATAAATCACGTTCATTTTACTTAATAGAATTTTAAGGAAGTAGACAACAGAATTTGCACGACAATATACAGTGCCAAAGCAAAAAGTTTTATCGTGTCTTTTGGAAACTTCTTCTTATTAGTTCATGAGAGAATCCAAAATTTTCATGATTAGTTTGATAATCATGATCACTAGTCAAACAACAAATTAAAGCAGTGGGGCCCTCTAAAATACTGTTCTTATTTCTATGTCGACCCTTCTCGGTTGTAGCACAAAATTAATTAGCTAGTCAGGATTTCTGACCGTTGCTTGATTCTAATCAATGATTAATTTGTGTCAAATTTAACTGATAATATTCAACGATCATATATATTGAGAGAGTTGTGTGTGTATGTGAGAGAGAGAGAGAGAGAGAGAGAGAGAGAGAGAGAGAGAGAGAGAGAGAGAGAGAGAGAGAGAGAGAGAGAGAGAGATTGCATTTGTGTTTTTCACGTGAATGTTTGTTTGGCCCACATATCATTCACGATATTGACCCTCTTTGGTCAATTTGGTTTGGAATTTTCCCTAGTTTTAGAATTCGTGGTTATCACAAGCCTACACCTAATTAATCGTAAGCTCACAAAGAAAATAAGAAGAATAAATTTTGAAAAAAGCGTGTCACATACAAAATGCAATGTAATTATTACATGTTTACGGAAGTTTTAATATAGGTCTCAGAGAAGAGACTAATAAGACACACAACGTGGAAGCCATACCACAAGATATTTATGCCTATCACACGGTTTAGCGACAGTCAACTATATATCCGTTGCTGGTTTTTTCTCTTGGTTTCTGGTTGGTCACGGTGACACTAAATTGAGGCCGCCCTAGACAAAAAAGGGGATGGATTATTGAGGCTATATATATATAACTTGTTTCTATATAAGAAAAATGTGTGTGTGTATTACTTGTTGGTAGGGTTAGAGTTAGTAGTATAGTTCTAATGTGTCCATGCTGAGTAATACTTATATGGAACAACTGTAACATCTTGTTGGGCAAAATTGAAGACATGTACGACGTATGTGCGCAAGATGCCAATTTGGCCATTTTCAAGTGGGACTTTGAATTCCAATTTTGGCTTTTAATTTAAAAGCAAGTGATTGTGGACCTAATCTTTGCTTTTCTGGAAGTTGAAGACGATCATGATCAGTTGGATTAGATTGATTAATGGCACGCTATATAGCTAATGGGGCATGTGATACATTTGCATTTGGTTTCTAATATTTTTTTTGCTGATAAAAAAAAAATCTAATGGTGCACTCCATGTTCTCTAATCTCTTCAACTATAGTAACAATTCCGAGTATTACTGAGTATGTAGAAAGAGTTTAAATTAATTTTACGTCGATTATCCACTAAGTTTTCACTCCTGTAGCCCTCAGGGACCCACATAATTTTCTCAAAGAGGCTGGATAATCTTCAGTTGAAATGAAGACTCAAAATCAAGATTGAGATGGACAGAGAATACCTAGCAAAGGAGTCCTTACCCCTACATGACTCTCGGTGGTATTTGGTTTCCGATCTATACAACAATACTAATGGAGAATGGGTTGCAATACGCTAGAATAATTATCTAACAAAATAAAATTAACAAAATGACATTCTTCTATTTTTTATAAAAAAAGACATTTATTCATTCTTTATAAAAAGAGATTATTTTATAAATACAAATTTTTAAAAAATTATAGTTATTTTTACAAGACCTCGTTTTTTGGGCTTTAAAACGAAACATTTCGTTCAGTTTATTTTTTTGGACAAAGAAATCTGGTGCGATGGGCCTCACTAAAAACCACGCGTCGCTGCTTATTGGGTGCTCTCTTAAGTAGGATCCACGTGTCACGTTTCAATTGTTTCGCGAAAATGTGTGCCACGTGTCAAAACAGTATTACTGAAAAAATAAAGCTCACTAAGCAGGCAGCAGAGGATCACACGCATCCCGTAGTGGCCGACAACCACCGCCACGTGTCGACTTCTGATTGCACCAAGGTAGAAAGAGGCGGGGCCCACCTGCTGCGACGCTGCCGTGTCTGTCCCCTCCCCACTCGCTGGAAGCGCGCCTCTGTGCGCGTGTATGTCACGCTCCCGATTTGAACCGTTGACTTCAACGGCTGAAAAGAATTTCTGGTTTATTTTATATTATTTTTATTTATTATATTTAATTATTAATTTTGAATTGATTTGTGATCGACGTTTTAATACTGTTATTTGCCAAATTTTTAATATTCAGATAAAAATACTATAAATAATAAAATAAATTTAAATAAAAATACATTGAAATAAAATAAAATCACACTAAATAAAATAAAACAAAATAATTAACATATATAGATGCAAGAATAATTAACAAAGATCAGGTCTATCGGCTCGATCCTTAGCTACCACCACAGACTCTAAAAAAATTTCATAGTTAAAGCTCCACCATATTATACCGCGAGCCCAAATAGAATTTAGACTCTAACACATTTTTTTATGTAATTTTTTCCTTTTCATTTAAAAAAAAAACAAATTATAAAGTTATTATTTTAAATGAATCATGCGCACTTTGCGCGCTAAAAACTAGTATTTAAAAACATGTGAATGTCCCCTTAAAAAAAATTGAATGGACTGGGTCCTTCGGGAAGTGTTGAGCTGATCATCCATATTGCACAATAGTTTGAATATCCCACCCAAAGAAAATGGAATCTAGAAGAGTGTGCTAGTTGAATCAAGTTTGGTTAATTACACTGATTACCCACTTAATCAAACACAAAGGAAATAAATAATTAATGAAATGACTAACCCAGAAAGTGCAAATTCACTAAACGCCTTTTCTTCAGGAATTATTTATATCTACCATCGAAAAGCTGTAGAGTGGCTATTGGTTTGATCTATATATATATATATATATAGTTCTGTCAGAGCAAGGACAAAAGAATGCCACTTCAAAACTCAATGATTATTACGATAATTAATCAAGTAGCAGTAGTACTTTCTCATGTGAAGTAATATATGTAAAGTAATGTACGTTTGGTTGGAAGATTTAAATCATGTGATTCGAATTATTTTTAATTTACGTAAATTTTTTATAAGAGAAAATATTATAATGAATTACGAATTATGATTCGAATCAGAGAACAAATCCCTCTACTAAACATCCTTTTAATTTAATTATAAATCAATCTTTTAATATATTTCCACGTTCAACAGTTTTGTATTTCTGGTTGACTAATGACTACAACGTATAGGCTCACACGTTCTCTCCTATTATAAATACCCACACTCCATTTTCAATTCTCTCCAACTTCTGTCCTATTCACTCACATCAATCCTCTTTCTCACTTGCCAAACTTTCTCAAGAAACAAACAATGGGTGGAAATCCCCCCTGCGCTTCATGTAAGTTGCTGAGACGCCGGTGCGCCAAGGACTGCATTTTCGCGCCTTACTTCCCCTCAGAAGATCCCCACAAGTTCGCTATTGTCCACAAGGTCTTTGGCGCTAGCAATGTCAGCAAAATGTTACAGGTAACTTTATCAAAATTAAAATATGATTAGCGTTTATTTTTTTTTTCTTAACACTTATCACAAAATTTTCCGTGTTGACATATAAACGCTTGTGGTATTTAAGTGTCCACAAGTTCCCTTTCAGTTAATAATTGTTTGGATAAAAATCATTTAGTCGAATTTATTTACGCAGTCTTGTAGTTGATCTGACGGTGATTACGTGTGTTCTTTGTGTCTATAAAAAAAAAAAGAAAAAAAAAAAAGAGAAACATAAATATGTCCCCTTCTATTTCTTATTTTCTTCTATTTTTCATTCTTTTTACGTCATATATTGGGAAAGTGTTAGTCATTAGTGTTTGACAGTATATGCATATAACAATGCAGGAAATTCCGGTTCATCAAAGAGCAGACGCAGTGAGCAGTTTAGTGTACGAGGCAAATGCGAGAATGAGGGACCCAATTTACGGTTGTGTTGGGGCAATTTCTTACCTACAAAACCAAGTTTCTGAGCTCCAAATGCAACTCGCAGTTGCTCACGCGGAAATCCTCTGCATCCAGATGCAGCAAGAGCCGATGGTGGCAACATCCCCACCGCAGATATTCGACCCAGCTAATGATCATGATGATCAGAAATCATATTTTGTCGGCCACAACAACAACCTCGTCCCAGCTGATCAGTTCCATAAGTTTGCCTCCGCAAGCAATATTGTAGTTCATGACTCTTTCAAAAGAGAGAGCATTTTCGGCCATGATATGGTCTCTTTATAATATATATATATATAATTTAGTTTCTCATGTTGTTACTCAAAAGCCCTCAAGTTTAGTTGAGATTACAACGATAAATATTATTAGTAATAAGTGGTGCTAAGCATCACAGTTTATTTTTAATCTACTTGACTTATAAAGTGTGTTATGAAATTCGCATTGATGCTCAATCTAATAGGACAAAACTAGGCTCGTCATTATTTAATAATAATATTGGAGGACATACAATTGACAATATATCATGTATTAGAAATAAAATAAATACGTACGTACGTGTGTGTGTGTGTGTATATAGACACTAAAATTTTATATATTTTATGTGACAGAGTTGTTTGTACTTTGTCGTTATGAGAATGAGACATAGGGGGGAGGCCCGCGGGTGGGTGACTTAAAACAATAGTAAAGTCATGGTATGAGGTCAACTCTAGCATGTGACTAGTGAAGTAATTAAAATTAAAGCCTTAGTTCAAAGTAACATACTAAACAAATAAAGCTTCAGTAAATAAATTAATGCAGACAGGTCGGTAGCCTTTTAATCAATTTCTGATATAAAAAAAAATTCAAAAGAATAAACAAATCCCAGACATAAATTCTTAACCATTCTTGGAGTGACATATCAGTCATGGATTAAGATTTATGGAACGATATCAAGCTGATAAATGAACTCCCTTGGGTAGAACTGAATCCATATATACGAAAGATAATATCTGCACTTTTGTTTGGTTAATAACAATAAGGAGAGTCCTCGCACTCCCATTCAGCGTCTTAAAAGAAATCTACCGAAACCACTGGTGCCAGACACCAGATTATAGTAAGTGATCCAGTCCATATATGGAGCGCCCAACTGAGAGGCCTAATTACACCCTCGCTGTAGACGAGAAGAACCGATTTCTGGTTGATAAGAAAGAAAGCCTTGATAGGTCATCTTCTTATGCCATACCATCACCATTGGTGGTGGATCTGCACCTCTTTAATTGCCCGACTTTATGTTAATGTGTGAAACTTTTAATCAGTTAACTAATACACAAGAGATAATGAGAACTTTATAGACTACTACTATTACATTAGAGATGACTCAAAGTCAAAAGGTATATAAATTTGTTTTACTCTAGCAAAAACCCACTAGCTCATATGCAAAACGGCGTACCTTTCCATACTAGTACAAAATGTGGTAAACATTCATTTTGTATATAATTATTACGTAGGAAAAAAAAAAAAAAAAAAAAAAAAAAAAAAACCTTATTTAGGTTTCCAATATGTTTCAAATTTTCATTTTTGTTTTCCTTCAGATGATCCCAATTTATTGACATAATGTAATTTCCCTTTAGTACTTTCTCTTTTGGCAGTTTTTGGCGTTTTTAGCTAGCCCAGATTCATAAAATTAATATGCTTAATGTTAGGCTGCGCCTCCTGACTTTGTTTCAATGCATACACGTCTCACTTAGCCGCTAAGAAGACCAAGTCTAAATGGGAAAAAAAGTATTAATATAAATACGGCACACCGCCCAAACGTATTATAAATTAACAATAATATTGTCTAAGCAACATCTCCTACCTTGTTCACGTGGGATGTAGTGAAAGAAAGTGATGAGTTCGTGGGAATAATTGCGCGTGTGTGTGTATATATATAAATATAATATCGCTCAAAGTTGGTATCTTATAATATATATATATATATATATATAGTTCGTAATTTTCTAAATCCATCTCTCCAAAACAATTATATGTCAAGTCATAGATATATTATATACATATACATTTTGGAAGGTAAAGTGAAAAAGAATTATAAGAGGCAACAATAAATTAACCAGTTAAAAATATTTCCTCATTATTAGCTTTGTTTAATGTCGAATCATAATTTCCAAGTCAAAGTTTAATTGTGTTACGTACTTTTCCTCTTCTATACCTATCAAATCCATCTTTTTGTGGCCAGTTATTTCTAGCTGTACATGGTCATCTTATATGCTGCAATATATAATAGATTTAAGAGGAAAGATTAATATTATTAAAACCATCTTTTTCTTCCTTTTTTCCCTTCTAACTCTACTATAATATAACTTCTCCTTAAGCATTTATATTTTTTTTTCATCTTTTTTTTAATTTATACAATGTACATGCCAACGTACTCCCCAGAACATTTAATTCCTTTCCGTCATCAGTGCCGTGTTACAACGGACTACGATGGACGTGCTAATTGAGAGTTTTATTGGTCGAATTAACCAATTATTACAAGACAAAGTAGGTAGTATTTTTTTCTTTTCAATATTTTAGTCTTCTTGTGGATGAGTAACGTTTTTGTCATAGGATAAGTACAAGGTAGAAAATTTACTTTAATGTCATCTTTAATTGATAGAAATATTTTAGTATTTATTTTGCTGAGTTTTTGTAATATAGACAAACATTATATATACATATATTATTAATATGACAATGGTAATAAATTAAATAATTTATAAAAAAATTAATAAATTTTTATATTTAAAAGAACGTAACCATTGAAAACTATATATAAAAATATAATATGCAGTGTGTTAAAGATTACATGCATATACGTCTCTATATGCACGTCTAAGATTACCCATCATCATATGCGCCAAAACAAATGGTCCTTAATTTCTTCTTTGTTACTTTTATTTGAGAAAAAATTTGGTACAGTTCCTAGATTGTTACAGAAAAATTTGTTAAAATAATATGACTGCAAAAACGAGTACAACTTGTTATCTTCACATTCCAGCTAGAGATTGACCTAAACTGGCTTGGTACATGAAACAATATCCAACGGATATGATTAATAAATCAATATTATGCTCGAGAGCTTTAGTCAAGTTTGCAAGCTAAAAAAGAAAATAACGAAAGCAATATATAATCAATAATAAAATTTTACATTCATAATAAGACAAAAGTGTTTTCCCCATATATCAATCACTTATCAAAGAAATTGAAAAAGAATTGCACACATATCATTATCGATCTTTGCCACTTTGAGGAGACAGGACGGGGTAGGGGGAAGGCTTGTTTGTCTTTTGAGGCTCGAGGTTTAATAATACTTCCAAAACAAGGGTTGCCGCTTACGTCATCGTTCTTTAATTTTTGTTTTTATTTTTTATTTTGAAAATACTAGATATCATCACGGATGATGATCGCCTTTTATAATTTAACCAATTAGAACTTGGCATATGAAACTATACGAGATTTTATATTATCATGACTAGTAAATTTTGTAATTTTTTTTAATCATTTTTATATATATCATGTATTTTGAGGTTATCAGAAAATCGTATCTTGCATTTTGAATTGTATTAAATATTTACCTGCGTTTCAAATTGATTATAATTGTCTACTAAAAAAATTCATGTTCAATCCACACTTTTTAGATCACGGTTTATTTTGACTATGAAAAAGACTTAACTTTATTTCACATTTTTGAATTTTTAGTGTTTTTTTTCTTTTGGGGGATTTAGGAATTTTTTTTTTCAATATTGTTGTCAAAATTGATTATTGACCCAAAAAATATAAGAATTAAACATAAATTCTAAATCTAAAGATATTAATAGATGAGATACAATAAAAAAGGTTAGATATGATTATTTGATATTCTTAAAATGTATTTAAACGAAATTAATTGAAAGACAAAGCTACATACTAATTAATGTATTTTCAGTGGTAGAGTACAATATTAACCTTCTTTTCTTTTTGTTGTTTTTTCGAATGAGCACAATATTAACTTAATTGCTCTGTGAAAAGGAATGATCAAAGAAACAAAAGCAAGTTTCCAAATATCCCATAGGAAAGTACTAGAATTCATACCTCTACAAATAACAAAAAGCAAACAATAGTCATAAATAAATAAACAATTAAGATTTTTTTTTTCAGAGCAAAGAAAAAAAAAAAACAATTAAGAATCACATTTCAGAAGACTGTAATCAGAAAAAAAAAATTCATTTAAATTATTTGTATACTTTAGCCACAAAATTCTCCCCAAAATTAGAGAAAATTCACGAAAATTTATTAAACCCAGTCTTCAGTTCTGGAATCCTGTGATCAGCGGATATAATTCAATAACAGTTTGTTATAGAATAGAAGTACCTCCAACGAAAATCAGCGGCAACGCCACGAAGATAGTGATGCATGAATGGAAAGATGGAAAACAATGAAGCAATTAATTTTGAGCAGTGTTAGCCTTAATTATGAATATGATTTACAACTACATTTATAAATCTCTAAAACCATCGTGCTAAATTATTAAGAATAATAATTGAGGTTATGTACCTGAAATTGAGAGGGTGAGTCTTCCGCAGTCAAATTTGTCCTTTACTGCTCAATAATTCTGTGTCTTGAATGGAGAAAAAGGAGGAGCAAATTGTATGTATGATTTGGTCACCATAAAGTGCCTTTCTATAATAAGTCAAATTAAAATCCATTTACACCTAACTCAAAAGATATTCCTGAAACCCTAAATAATAGATAAAGAAAATTACAAATTTTATTAAGTGCATGACTTATTAAAAATATATATTTTAAAAATTTTTAGCTCTCGACTAGTTTTAGTCTGAAAAATAGATATATATGAGTTAATATTAAATGGTCTTTCAAGATAGAGCTTGCTACTAAGCTAGCCCGGACGACCAAGTTTGATCAATGGATTCGCGCCTCTCCGATAAGATCATCTCCACGAGCTAAATCCCAAACTTGGAACGCACTTTTTCACTCCCTTTTGGTTGGGCGCAGGGCAGCTCGCACAGACAGGTACATTGATATCGATTCATCCCTGGATGTCTCTGACCTTCATCGATGATAAAGTCAGGGATATCCATATAAAAGGCTAGGGACATTCCCGGCATGCTGGTAGCCATACGAGGGCGGTAAACAAACGCTCTCATCAAGGACTCCTTCTCGGCTCCGCGTCCACCGAAAGTCGGTAACCTTCGTCACCGTCAGCATTTGGTACTCTCTCGATAGCTTCAATAGTTCACTGAAAGCCTTTGGTGTAATGAACCGCAAGCCCTTCAGAAAGAAAGACATAAAAAAAAGGCTTGGTTGCCTGAGCGGATGCATATCTCTTTCTTTCCAAGACTTTTTTCACTTTAG